CGTGATGCAGTTGGGTGATTTCCGAAATGTATGTCATATCCACCCAAAACATCTTTCCTTAATCTCTTCCTAAGCTGGAATTTGGTTTGTTCTCTCCCATAGTAGGATGTTGCCAATGGTGTCGATCAACGGTCAGTGAGTATATTGCGAAGACAATTGTTTACAAAAACTTGTACCTTCTTGATTATGGTTGTGGCACTCCTTGAAGTTTCACTTCCGTATAGTAGGACTTTCTTGAAGTTATTATTGACGAATCTGATTTTATTATTGGACACGGATCATGGTATGAATTTATTCCAGAAGCACTTAATCGACAAATATTTATCAATCAATTCTGAAATATAAATTCTCTTTCTCATTTTTTGTAGTCCACTCGTCCTATCTTTCGGGTTCAAAATATCCGACTATTATTTCGGCTGGTGATTTTCCGTCTTGTCAGTTTCGACTAAGTGCAATTCTATAAGCGATTGGAAAGTGTTTCAGAGTTTCTTCTACGTTATCTTCTACCCACATTTTTAGGAGAGCTCTCTTAACAAAATAAAAAATTTCTCCGTTGGCCCATCTGACTGAAAGTGATACGATACGATTCTAATATGTTCGATTCCATTTTGTTTACAGAACTCTGACGACTTAGATTGCGTTACTTTATCAGAATTCAAAACATTGGGTGTGTGGTGGTCGATTTTCGATATTATCCCTAGGTTTCGTATATTGTTCGTCTTGATAACCGTTACTCGACAACGTCCTAACGATGTATAAATCAGAAGACGAATACGGAGTATTGATCGCGTTTATTACTGAACCACACTCAGTTATCCAATATTACAGGTACGTCAAGCAAGCATAAAAGAGCAGTGCCGTAGAGCCGAATGAATGAGTAAGCGTGTACAGTACGGTGTAGCGTAGTGCAGAGCAGAGAGCAAGCAGGGCAAGTGCAGCAAACAGGATTAAGATGTACATATATATAAGTGGAAAAGCATGAATCATCGGATCAAATAAGCGATTAATAATAATGCTAGCGGAATGAATATATGCGTAGGCAGTAAGCAATGTTCAAGCGTATATAATAAAAGTACAATGGTATAGATGGGTTGTTATTGTATGAATGACTGTCCATTAAATGAGTTAACTAAAGGGCTTAACTAAATTAGATGTTAACAAACTCAATTGTATCTGAGTTGCTATAATAGCTCCCCCCAGCAAACATGGATACAAAATAGTGTCTGTGTTTGCGAATAAAAAATGTTAAACTTAACAGGACAGTAAATATCAAAATTTATGAAATTAAGATGTATGATAGAACTATCGTGTGAATTACTACAAGTACGTGTAAGTTTGAGTTCGTATATATCCGTGAGGCCAGACAAAATAACAGATCAAAATAATGTGTTAGTGATTTTAGAGGTTTATATACATTTACATTGGAATATGCAAACTTTGTTGACTACAATAATAGATAAATCAAAGTTTTCGACGTACACATACAAAACGAAGAGGAAAGAAATTTACATCTGAAGATGCGAAATAAATTATTAGTTCAAAATCGTGGCTATGTATCGTTGAGGCCATCTTACTCTTCGACCATATCTTGTCGTTACTGGTTTCTCTTCGTTTTTGTTCGTCGATGTCGTTGATGATTGAGACTCACGTTTCTGTGACTCGACGATTTTCGAATGATCTGTATATACTGGCTGATCGTCAGCTTCGATAAAAGCTGGTTTGACTCGGTCTATGCTAATTACATCCGTTTTTCCGGCTTTATCTAGTGTAATAGTTTTATCATTTCTTCTAATAATTTTAAATGGGCCATCGTAAGCTGGTTGTAAGGGAAGCTGCACATTATCCCTTCTGATAAACACATGGGTACTGTCGCTCAGTTGTTTTGGTATGTACACACGTTGTTGGTGTTGTCTCGGAAGTGTTACTCTTAGATTACCCATATGCTGCTTTAGACGTTGTACATAATTGGCTAAATCAGTTGGAACACTTTTACTTGAGGTGAAAAATTCTCCTGGAAGACGTAAATTGGTTCCATAAACCAACTCCACAGGACAACATCCTATACCTTGTTTAATTGTTGATCTTAAACCTAACATAACTAATGGGAGCTTGCTGGCCCAATCATTATTGCTAATAACAGATGTAAGAGAGGCTTTGAGTTGCCGATGTAATCTTTCTACCATAACATTCGCCTTCGGATGGTAAGATGTTGTCCGAATACGCTTGATTTCTAGGAGTTCAGTGAGTTGTTGAAAGAGGTGGCTCTCGAATTGGGCTCCTCGATCGGTTGTAATATGTGCAGGCACACCATAATGAGAGATCCAATGCTCTACTAAGGTTTTGGCTATATTTTCGGCCGAAATGTCTTTTATGGGTACTGCTACAGGCCATCGCGTAAATCTATCAATGCAGGTAAAAATATAACTAAAGCCGTTTGAAATCGGCAGCGGCCCTACAATGTCAATATGTATATGCTCAAATCTGCTATCCGGATGACGAAAAAGATCTATTGCGGAACTGGTGTGACGATGTACTTTAACTTTTTGGCATTTTATGCAAGTTTGCGTCCAATTACGAACATCCCGGTTCATGCTTGGCCATACAAAACGTTTGCTGATTAATTTGATTGTGGCCTTTATCCCAGGATGTGATATGTTATGCATAGTGTCGAAAACCTTTCGTCTTAGAGGTTTCGGAATAAATGGTCTTGGTCGGCCCGTAGAAATATCGCACATAATACTCACGTTTTCGATTGAAGTTTCTTTTAGTACCAGAGAGGTTGTATTGTCAGACTTCAGTCTGTTTAACTCGACATCTATATTTTGTAATTCTGCTAATTCGTGATAATCGATTTCAGACTGGACGAGAGTGTTTATCGTCGTTCTTGATAGTGCGTCAGCTACTTCGTTTTCTTGGCCTTTAATATATCGTATATCAGAAGTGAACTGGGAAATAAACTCCAACTGTCTGATCTCCCTCGGAGAGTAATTATCTTGCTTTGCGCTTAGTGCGTTCGTGAGTGGTTTGTGTAAACAGCAAAATTTATGCCTTCTACCATATGTCGAAAATGTTTTATTGCCAAGTAAATTGCTAGTAATTCTCTTCCGAAAGTACTATATCTCGTTTGCGTAGGATTCAGTCTCTTTGAGAAGAATGAAAGCGGTTCCCATGTGCCATTTACTCACTGTTGTAAAACAGCTCCTACCGCCACATTCGATGCATCTGTCATGATAGCTAATGGTGTTTCGCTCTTCCTTCTAGCTAATGTCGTCTTTTTGTTAAGTGCCTTCTTGGCGTTCTCGAAGACCTGTATTGCCTCTGCTGATAATTGGAATGTCCGGGAGTGTCCCCATAACGCATCGGTCAGTGGTTGAAGTATTGCCGCACAATTCGGAATAAAACGTCTGTAATAATTCATTAGTCCCAGAAATCGTCGTAATTTCTTCTGTATATCGGGCAACGGATAGTCTCTGATGGCATCGATTTTTGTAGAGATCGGTGTGATACCTTGAGAAGTTACCATGTGTCCAAGGAACTGTAAGGATCCTTTCCCAAACTTACACTTCTCAATGTTTATGGAAATACCATGATCTCTTAATCGTGCGAATAATTACCGTAGTTGTTGTATGTGCTCGTCCATAGTGGAGCTGGCTACTAGTAAATCGTCTATGTATGCGTATACTCCAGGTAAGCCTCTGATGACCTGGTCAATAAATCGTTGAAATGTTTGTGCTGCATTATTAAGTCCGAAAGGCATGCGTAAGAATTCATATAGCCCAAAAGGGGTTGTTACTGCTGTTTTTGGTATGTCTTGTAGAGCGACCGGGATGTGATAATACGCTCTAACTAAGTCAATCTTCAAGAATACTGTAGCACCTTATATACTGTAGGTAAAATCATGGATGTGTGGTATAGGGTATATATCGGCCATTGTTTGCTTATTAAGTGCTCGATAGTCGCCACATGGTTTTAATTCTCCGTTCTTTTTCGGAGCCATGTGTAATGGGGGTGCCCACGGGCTGTTCGAAGGCCTTACTATGCCTAGCCTCATTAACTTGTCGAATTCTTGCTTTGCTATTGCTAGCCTTTTTGAGTCTAATCTTCTTGGCCTTGCATTAACCGGCTGCCCGTTGGTTACAATATGGTGTTGGATAGTATGCTTGAGATCTGTTTTATTGTACGTTACTTTTAAAAGCTCTGGAAACTCGTTTAACAATAATTTGCGTGCGTCGTTGCGGCTCTTATCTACCACTAGGATCATAGAAACAGATTCTGTAAGTATTCCCGTAATCGAAGTAGTATGGGTACCGTTTATGAGTCTGTGGTGCCGTGAGCCTACTAGTAAATCGAAATTGCATAAGAAATCGATGCCTATTATAGGTACCGATACGTCTGCTATGACAAAATCCCAGCGGTATGTCGCGCCTCGTCCGAAATTTAAGGACAACATTCGTTTGCCATATGTTTTGATATCCGATTTATTCGCCGCTTTTAGAACAAATGACGTGTTAAGGTTTCTTTTGTCGTCACATACTGGGGTACTACGCTAATTTCAGCTCGCATGTCCACCAAGAATTGAGTGCCTGTCATTCGGTCTTGTATATAAAATAGGTGGCTGTTTGAGGGCTTTATGTTCGCTGCAGGCGTTGCCATGGACAACCGAGGGTCCCGCTTACTTGCGTGCTAAATTTACAAGGTTGTAGGCATTTTCTTGCTCTGTAACCATACATTTGATGATACCAACATATCAGCGGAGTTGCGCGTCTTCTGGAAGCTGATCGGCTTCTCTCGTGCGTGCCAACTCGTGATAATTTTCGTGGTCTCTCGCTCTGGGTCAACTCTGTGAGCTTGCGGCATAAAACATCTATCTCTTTCTGCAGAGTACTGATTCTATCGTCTACTGTCACGCTGTGTGATTGAGGGCTTGCTTGTTTTGCTCTTTCGTATATTCTATCATCTATTTTCGCTATGTTGTCTATGTCAGCGTCAGTATCTCCAACAGCTAAGATATGCTGGATACTGGACGGGAGTCGGCGAAGCCACAGTTGATAAAATAAGTTATTGTCTATTTTTCTATCACCTAGTAGACTTTTCATATTAGTTTTTAACTGTGATGGAGTCCTATCCCCCATTTGCACCTGGTTGAGAAGCTGCTCAACAGCTTGTTGGTCACTTAGCGTGACTGCTTTAATCACTGCCTGCTTTAGTACATCGTATGGCCTTTCAGTATCCGGTTTAGAAAACGCCTCTCGTACGCTTTCTGCTACTTCGTCTGGGAGGTGAGTGCTTGTGAGGCCGAATTTATCTCTTTGTAAGTTAATACGACTAGCCAGAAAATAGTTTTCGAGTCTAATGAAACACAGCTGAGGGTCAGTGACCTTAAAAGAGGGGACTGGAAGGTTAAAAGTTCTCACGGGCGAAGTTTGCTCTACACTTGACATAGTGTTTTCGGAAGACATGCTTACTAAAACATTTTTTGAGTAGTACACAAATATGATGTAAATCTCACAAAGTAAAAAATGGACGAACAAAAACAATGATAATAATAAGTGGTACAATTTATAAAATGGAACAGACTTACTAAATTGCACCAATATATCAATTGTTTGTGAATGATCGTTATTTAGTATGAATATAATCGTTAAGTTCAATGTTTGTGAGTTAGGATCTAATAAATCCACAATTATGATTTTGATACAAATAATAATCCGATTTGAGACGCAGCGCTTTGAATTTTCGGGATTAGATTATATCGTCGAAAATTGTTTTGTGATCGCTCGGCGAGGCTTCCAATTCTGTGGTGGTCGATTTTCGATATTATCCCTAGGTTTCGTATATTGTTCGTCTTGATAACCGTTACTCGACAACGTCCTAACGATGTATAAATCAGAAGACGAATACGGAGTATTGATCGCGTTTATTACTGAACCACACTCAGTTATCCAATATTACAGGTACGTCAAGCAAGCATAAAAGAGCAGTGCCGTAGAGCCGAATGAATGAGTAAGCGTGTACAGTACGGTGTAGCGTAGTGCAGAGCAGAGAGCAAGCAGGGCAAGTGCAGCAAACAGGATTAAGATGTACATATATATAAGTGGAAAAGCATGAATCATCGGATCAAATAAGCGATTAATAATAATGCTAGCGGAATGAATATATGCGTAGGCAGTAAGCAATGTTCAAGCGTATATAATAAAAGTACAATGGTATAGATGGGTTGTTATTGTATGAATGACTGTCCATTAAATGAGTTAACTAAAGGGCTTAACTAAATTAGATGTAAACAAACTCAATTGTATCTGAGTTGCTATAGGTGTTCCAAACCTACCAAATAGTTGTCTGAGATGTAACAGTGTTTCAGATGTAGATGGTCTTCGAACAGCATAGATTTTAGGCTATCTAGAGTATGAATCTACCATCACCACAAAATACTGTCCGTTTATTGGTCCAGCATAATCGATGTGTACTAAGACCCAAGGCTTCTTCGTCTCTGACTATGCTGTGACTCTACTTCCGGTGTATTAAATGAAAAATCCCATAAACCAAATTTATTTATCCAACCAATACCTAATAAGTCGGTATAACAGTTCCCAGAAATATTTTCCTGTCATAGTCTTGTCGTCCAATGTGAGAGGTAGATGCATTTCTCCAAGAGAAGTAATATTAGTTCCTGTGGCACTCTTGACATTATAATATGTAGGTTGAAGTTGAGGTCGACCAAGTTTTATCCAAATCTTTCTAGAAATTACTGTTACGTCAGATCGCGTACCGACTCGCAGCTTAACTGGTTTGCTACTAAAAAATATAGTTACGTACCTCCTTGTAGATGATAATTGTGGCCAGAACAACATTTGGATAATGTGATATCATTTGTGACGTCCGCGTCTCAGCTTGAACATCTGGGCTACCTGTTTCTTTCATTCAGATATTCCAGCAAGTTATCGTATATTTTGTTCTAATACATTACGGCTATAATCTCACAACCTAATTAGGTGCGTTTCTGAAGTGTGCAACCTCCCCTTGTACATGTTACAAAAAGCCCAATCAGATATTGTGGTTGATGACAATATGCAAAGGGAAGAATGTACATTATTTAGTTGCCAATTGAATAGACTGCTAACTTCTAACTGGTGGTCACTCAATATTTATTGTCAGGACTGACCAAGAAATAAGGAACTTGCTGAAATACATTGAGCTGAAAACCATTTGTACCAAAAACATAATATCAAACAAGGCTAACGATAGTGAACCCTTACATTTTGGCTCTTGTTGTGCGTTTAAATGACAAGCTCTCACGACAAAATTTTCATGTGATATCATATCGACCATGTTGCAGTGGGACAATACTCAATGGCTCGTCGTTGTGGTCCACTTTGTTTCGTCGTTTAGGATCAGTAGACGAAAAGCTGACTGTCTAAATCTTATTCTGGCTGCTAATTGTCAGCCAGGCAGATCTGTAACGTCGAGGAAAATAATGCTCCCAGTGGGTTTCAAACCCGTGTTATAGTCTATGTCACAACAGGAAAATCCAAGTTGACGCTGACTATAAAAGAGTGAGATACTTGCATTGCTTGATCAATAAGCAGCAACCGGTATCACGACGTGTAGTTGCATGTTCACTGGAGTCTATGAATCACTCTTTACAGGGCACTTGCAAGCTGTATAATCTAGAGAATGTCGTATTTCAATTGAGACAGCACATTATGATTACACCAAATATGTTCACAAAAAGTTTACCTCAGGTCGCTTCCAGTTTGCTAAGATCATTTGTATTTATTCACGTCGCTAGGCTTCAACAACACTACAATGGGTGTCATTGAAGACTAAAGTTGGAAAATTTTACTCCAATCCTATGAGGATTACGACCAAAATTCCAGTAGTTTTTGATTTCATACAGTTTTTACATTAACACTTAGAGAATTTGTTATTTCTATCACTGAATATTCTCTTGAAAAAACCCTCCTATCTATCAGAAAAAACAAAAAACTAGATATGGTAAGCAGAGATGGATAGTGGCTAGCAGTGGAATCCAGGAGGCGCGTTTCGTCCTATTTGGGACTCGTCAGCTGGATGTACCTGCATCTCAGAGTTGATGTTCACTCTGGGACTCGAACCCAGTACCCTCGCTTCAAACGCCATCGCGTTATCCACTCGGCCACGGAGTCCTGATTGCCACTTGCTTGTGCGATGGGGTGAAGTTTGAATTCACTTAGTATTGTTTGTTTGGATCTTCCCATCGATGTGTTTTTAAGGACTGCAACTGGTCAGTCTCTAATTGGCATATGTGCATACTGTGCGTATTGCCTCGATATACCTTAATTCACAAGCATGGTAAGCAGAGATGGATAGTGACTAGCTAGTTCCAAATAGGACGAAACGCGCCTCCTGGATTCCACTGCTAGTCATCCTTGATTATAATGCTTGTGAATTAAGGCTATATTGAGGCAATACGCACAGTATGCACATATGCCAATTAGAGACTGACCAGTTGCAGTCCTTAAAAACACATCGATGGGAAGATCCAAACAAACAATACTAAGTGAATTCAAACTTCACCCCATCGCACAAGCAAGTGGCAATCAGGACTCCGTGGCCGAGTGGATAACGCGATGGCGTTTGAAGCGAGGGTACTGGGTTCGAGTCCCAGAGTGAACATCAACTCTGAGATGCAGGTACATCCAGCTGACGAGTCCCAAATAGGATGAAACGCGCCTCCTGGATTCCACTGCTAGCCACTATCCATCTCTGCTTACCATGCTTGTGAATTAAGGTATATCGAGGCAATACGCACAGTATGCACATATGCCAATTAGAGACTGACCAGTTGCAGTCCTTAAAAACACATCGATGGGAAGATCCAAACAAACAATACTAAGTGAATTCAAAAAACTAGATATTTTGCAAATTACTGATTTTATGTTATTTTGATTCTATGCAACAAATAAGAGATGTAAATAATAGGCTAAATTATTATACACTTAGTCAAAAGTTTGAAATAAAACAAAAAATAAGTAAATAATTCATTTGACAGTAATCTTTGCAGACATCTTATCTGATACGGTGTAATGATCCCAATTCTTTGCAGGATCATATGGTTCCCATCGACTAGCGGGGAAAATATGTTTATTACGTTCATACCAGCTACGTAAACAGACTTTTCCAGCATGTGACTCTTCTTTTTCTACATTTGCATCCATTCGGATACGAACATCGTCGTGAACATCAAAGCAAAATAATGGTCCAGATTTACCACGGGCCTTAGTTACAATAAAATCATAAAATGTATAATGATGAGGAATAATCAAATCTTCCTTGATATACATCATTTGATCTGCACTGGCAGACTTTAATTCAGAGAAATCTTTACGGAGTTGTTCTACGCAACGATGTAAAAATAAATGGATGGAGTGACCCTTTTTCATCCGCACTTGTTTGCGATGTCCAGATCCATCCCAGTAGCTGTACGTGATAACTATTTCCTCTTCTTTGATTGCAGCTTGTTTTGCCACCCATTCCCTTCGAAGTTCTTCCCTAACATATAAAAAGATATGATGCAGAATTTTATTATCACATCAACAAGAATTGGGAATAAAGCAGTTTAAATCAACAAAGCAGCGTTATTTTCTAAAGATGTTAGATCTCAAAACATAGATGGGTTTAGTGATAACGAACGAATATAGACATATTTTTTAATGGGAGTCACATAATCGAAACATCTCTGCAATCTGACATTATTCTTGCTTTTTTCTTAAGTACATACGAAAATATAAGTTGGAAATGTGTAGCTACTGTGTTTGTTCATTGAAAGTGCTTGCTGCTGAGAATCTGCATTTAGCTTTATGGAGAATGTTCGACAGTAAAACATCGATTTCCTGTGTGAGCGTAAACTGACTACAGCTAAATGGCAACATAGTTTATATGCATTCTTTTTTTTAACTAACAACCGAATGACATAAGGAAATTCTAGAAGAGTTTTGGCTTAATGGTGAAAGCATATGACGTTCGAAAATTAGGCTTTAGACTAGAAACTAGCCATATTTGCTTTGATTTAGGCAGTTGAAAGATACCCCTAACTCATGCGCAAAGTGTGATTTAAAGACAAGTACATTAACACAAAATGTTGTTGCAAAGTTAAGTTCTAAGAAATTTATTAAGAGAAAGATAAATATTACTCTATGCGCTCAATTAACACTGGAAATTTACTTACGATACCATGGATGCTAGTCAGTCAGCTACAACGTAGGACCAGGCACATATATGCATCAGTCCAAGTTGACATACCTCACGAACACCACCACATAGAAGCAGTTAATTCAATGGTAGTAAAAAAGTTCCATATAAGGATACGATAAAGGGAGAAGGAATCAGTTCGTAGAAAGAAATGTATCAAGTAATTTTAATCTCACAGTATAAGGCAAGATGAAGAGTGCATACACCTACGCCACTGTGATCGATTCTCAGCCATGTCACACAGTCTCCAACCATTGATTACGATAGTCGCGCGGACCCCAACCAAGTAGTCTGCATTTACCAATATGGCTGAGACCAGAAGTCAGTGACTTTATGGACTGATATTACGTTTTGGTTTGATTGCCCCTGACTTTCTTCCAACCGTCTCCAACGCTAGTCAGCATTGCGCACTGTGGTAATCGGTGTCCAGTTATAGGTAACACGTGGCCTATCCAACTCAGTCGATGAAGATTCACAACCTCATCAACCGATTTACTATCATTCTCTGATACCTTGCGTCTAACCTCACTATTACTTACCCGGTGATCCCAGCAGATACAAACAATATTTCTAAGATATCTGTGATCAAATACTAGTAGCTCAAGAGTATCCTCTACTCATAATGGCCACGTTTTGCAGCCGTAAAGTAGAACAGAACGAACTGCCGCGCAGTATACTCGTCCCTTAATTAGTAGACGGATATCTCGCCGTCAACTCCACCTGTAGCCCCCCCCGGGGCTCCTGCTGTTCCCAAGCCCACATAAAGGAGGGTTGGGCATGGGGTTAGCGACCTCATCCCGTAGAAAAGCTAACTCGCTAAAAAACGCTAACGAGAAAAAATAATTCAAACCATTTAAACTCTGCCCTGGGAGTTGAAGGAAGAATTATGACACCTTATGATGAAAGCCGAGATTCTTAGGAAGTCACGAGGCTGATGCCTCTTCTAACAACCACAGCAACAATTAATATAAGTACATAGAACGTTTAGACAATGTGGGAGAACCAACCAAATAGCTATGGAAATGAGGAGATACAACTTGATGGTTCTTGGAATCAGTGGAACCCACTGGGCACAAAATGGATAAAAAAGATTAGACTGGGGAGAGATAGTGTTGGTTTTTGATCACAGAGAAGAAAATGCTTCTCACACTCAGGGAGTTACTCTAAAGCAGGAAATGCACTTGTAGGATGGGAATCTCATGGATCCAGAATTATCATTCAAAACAAAGAAGGGAATCACAATGAATGTTATCCAGTGTTATGCACCCACCAATGATAGCAACGACGACATTAAAGATCAGTTATACTCGAGGCTTCAATCGATCATAGCTAAGTGCTCAAGAAAGAACCTTACAATCCTGATGGGAGATCTAAATGCTAAATTCGGAGTGGACAACACAGGATATAAAAATATAATGGGACGACATGGAGTGGGAGAGAAAAGAAAATGGTGAGAGATTCGCAAATCTAGGTGCATTCAACAAATTGGTTATAGGCGGCACAATATTTCCACACAAACGCATACACAAAGTTACATGGATCTCACCGAATCAAATAACAGAGAACTAGATCATATTTGTATCAATATTAATTCACAAGGACAATGAGAGATGTGAGAACAAGGAGAGGAGCTGACATAGCTTCAGATCACCACCTGGTTGTGGCCAAGATGAAGCTGAAGCTAAAGAAACACTGGACAATTGGACAAACAGCATTACAAAAGGTTCAATACAGCCTTCGTTTGAGATACTCACAAACCTAACCAATTCAAGATAACTGTCAACAACAGGTTTCAAGCTTTACAGGATATACTGAAAGAACAAGAAACTACGATGGAGGACAACTGGAAACGGAAAAATAAGCATTAAGTTCAACGCATCAGCAGGTTCTGGGTCGCAAGAAACATCATCATAAGAAATGGATCTCTATGGAAACGCTGGACAAGATTCAAGAAAGGAAGAACAAGAATATAGTAGTTAGCAACAGTCGAACACGAGCAGAGAAAGTCAAGGTACAAACAGACTACGCAGAAGCAAACAAACAAGTGAAGAAAAGCATTAAAGCCGACAAGCAGAAATACATGGGAGAACTAGCAACGACGGCGGAAAAAGCTGCAAGGGAAGGGAATATGAAACAATTATATGATACAACGAAGAAACTACCAGGGAGATATAATAAACCGGAGAGACCAGTCAATGACAAAGAAGGAAAGACAATCATGGAGATTCAAGAACAGAGGAAAAGGTAGGCAGGATACTTCGAGGAACTGCTGAATAGATTAGCTCCATTGAATCCACCGGACATCGAAGCAGCACACACTGACCTTCCTATATCTGTCACTTCACCAACGATCGAATAAGGCAGAATGGCCATCAGACAAATCAACAGTGTGAAAGCAACAGGATCTGACAATATGCCAGCTGAAGCATCGAAGTCAGACATTGAAGTGACTGAAAACATGCCTCACCTTCTATTCAAGAAGATTTGGGAGGAGGAACAAATGTCAACAGACTGGAAAGAAGGGTGCCTCATCAAGATACCAAAGAAAGATTTGAGCAAATGTGAGAATTATAGAGGCATCACACTGTTGTCAGTACCAGGAGAAGTTTTCAACAGAGTATTGCTCAACCGGATGAAAAACAGGTAGACGCTCGACTCCCAGATCAACAGGCTGGATTCCGTAAGAATCGGTCGTGCACAGACCAAATTGCGACACTACGGATTATCGTTGAACAATCAGTTGAGTGAAATTTGTCGCTATAAATCAACTTCATTGATTATGAGAAGGCGTTCGACAGTGTGCATAGGACTTTATGGAAAATTCTTAGACACTATGGAATTCCTGAAAAGATCGTCAACATTATCCGGAACTCATACGACGGACTACAGTGCAAAGTCGTGCATGAAGGACAGCTGACAGATGCATTCCCAGTAAGGACCAGAGTCGGACAAGGCTATCTACTCTCCCTCTTTCCTCTGGTGATTAACTGGATTATGATAACTTCGACATCTGAGTGGAAGCACGGAATACAATGGACATCTCAGAATCAATTAGACGATTTGGAATTCGCAGATGACCTAGCCCTCCTATCTCATACACACGAAGACAACTAATGTAGCAGCAGCCCCTGCATCAATAGGCCTCAACATACACAAAGGAAAAAGCAAGATTCTCAAATGAATAAGGAGGATCGGATGCAGATGTAAAGGCGAGGATTGGCAAAGCAAGGGCAGCATTTCTACAATTGAAGAACATATGGAACTCAAAACAACTGTCAACTAATTTCAAAATCAGAATCTTCAATACGAACGTTAGGACAGTCGGTCCTACCGTACGGAGCTGAAACGTTGAGGACTACTAAAACCATCATCAAGAAGGTACAAGTATTTATAAACAGTTGTCTACGCAAAATACTCAACATTCACTGGCCGAATACCATCAGCAACAGTGTTTTATGGAAGAGGACAAACCAACTTCCAGCTGAAGAGGAAATTAGGGAAAGACGTTGAAAGTGGATAGGACATATATTGAGGAAATCACCAAACTGCATCACGAGGCAAGCCCTAACTCGGAATCTGGAAGGGAAGGGGAAAAGAGGGAGGCCAAAGAAAACATTACGCCGGGAAATAGAAGCAGACATGAAAAGGATGAATGTTAACTGGAAAGGATCGCCCAGGACAGGATTGGATGGAGAAAACTGGTATGCGGCTTTTGCTCCTCCATGAGGGGTAATAGGCCTAAGTAAACGATATCTCGCCTTCGCCATAGGTGACGTAAGTTGGCAAAAGCCAAACGAGCTGTTTGGATCCGTGCAGAGAGTTCATCAGACACCAACCCATTAGGGCTGATCAGACTTCCAAGATAAGTGTTGTCCACGCGTTCGACTACTACAATCCCTATTCTTAGTTCAGGTGTTGACGCAGATCAGTCCTGAAGCAACAATTCACATTTAGAAGGAGAGAAACGCATCCCAAACATCCTTGCATTGCCCCTCAGTGCTGTCAAAAGACTCTGCATTTTATCAGCATCTTCACCAAACAGAACCATGTCATCTGCGTATTCTAAGTCGATAAGTGGATTTCCTGGTAGGAGATCAATGACCGGAAATTCAGATGACGAGAACGTTGTTTTCAGCAATAGATCTATAATGAAGTTAAACAGAAATGGAGGTAGTGGACAGCCTTGACGGACACCACTTGAGGTTGTAAAATCAGATGACAGTTCGCCATAAACTCTCACTCGGCTAGTAGTGTTCAAGTAAAGAGCCTTTACAAGGTTTATGTACTTCTCAGGTACACCTTTCAATGACAGACACTGCCAAAGAACCACTGGGTCTACAGAGTCAAATGCCGCTTTTAAGTCAAGAAAAACCATAATTGTTGGACGTCGATAAGCATGTCTGTGTCCTAGGGTCTGACGAATGGTGAATATGTGGTCGATACAGCCACGACCAGATCTGAAGTCAGCCCGATTTCTTCGTGTTTGCAGTTCATGAGCCTATGTTAGGCGTCTGATATTTATTGAGGCTAATATTTTAGACGCTATATTGGTCAAACTCATCTCTCTATGGTTATCACAGGATGATTTTGATCCTTTCTTACACATTGCGACCAGTCACATGGGACTACATTCAGTTCTCAGATTTTAGCTAAAATATTAGTCAACCTAATCGGTAAAACTGGACCACCATCCTTAAAAACCTCTAGTGTCAATTCTTCTAAGCCAGCTGCTTTTCCTCGTTCTAGATTGGCTATAGCTTTTTAAACTTCAATGTTCCACTCAGGCTGTTTGGAAATGGTGGATAGTTGTGAAGTAACTGAATGCTAGCTGAACTGCTCCTTAAAGTGTTTCGCCCATCGTTCTAAACGTCTGAACTATGAGGAGATAAGTGTCGTCTTTCTTTGCTATTAACTGTGAATTTATAACCACAATGGCTAGGTGAAGTTAAGTACACTAATAATTAAGGTAAAGTTTGTTGCTGCATTTAGTATAAAAAGATGAAAACTTTAGCATAGAATAAAGGGAGTAGTTTCAGCTGTTTGCTCCAGCTATTATGCCAAAGTGAACTGGACAGAACTTAGCCAAGGCAACAACTTAACCTTCAGTAGATTAGTAATTTAGAATTTTTACTAAAGTTTAACTACTATATCATAGAATTGGAATCACCAGAGATGCTAGAGTCCGTATGTTAACTGCGAAAAAAGATTTGACGATGTATTATAGAAATCTATTTCCAATATCTTTTTTGGGTGAAACCAGCGGAAGAGAAAACAAACCACGAGGACATACGAGTATGTCTGGGATGCACCATGTACGCGGAACAAACACCTACCTCGACAAACAATGTTGTGTGGGTTAGTAACGAGTTATGAAACTAGTTGGAATCAATCCATGAAGTTACTGACCTTTGGTTAAGTCGTGTTGGTAAATGCCAATTACATGGTTGGGGTCTGCGCGACCGGTGGTAGGAGACGTTAAGTGACATGGACTGGAAAAGGTTGTAGTGACACAGATGGACTCACTCTTTATCTGGATTTTGTGCTTTAGTTCATTTCGTACTATTCGAATTTATCTCTTTATTTCGGACCATATTCTCCAGTGCTAACCTTTCTTTTATTGGTTCTTTTATTATTTCTACTTCTTTGAAATAATCCCATCTTGTGTTGACGTGGTATGACAACTTGGGTTAACGTACATCACTAGGCTTTATGTCAAATTTAACTGACCGACTAACAAGTCTGACTCAGCACAGTCTATTTTTAACAGGATCATTAGGTGGAATGATTTAAACACGGATAAAAACCCTCCAAATAGTATATACTCTCTATCCTCACGTAACTGTAATGCGAATGTATAACAAATACGCAGAAACCTAAGCAGATGTAAACGACGACGAAATACTGTGGTAACTGTATTATTTACTTAATGATCCATGATAAAAAAAAACAAGTTAATTAGGATACTAGAACTTCCGCAGTGTACCAAAACGTTGAATAACCAAGTGAGATCATGACTGAAAGTTTTTCATAGTGGAAATATTATTGCATTTGTTTATTTGTAAATGTATACCGAAACCGACAATGAATGAACGTTTTATCAGTGATGGTGGCTCAGTGGTAAAGGGGTCCAGAATTTAGTCACTATCTTGCAGGTATCACCAACGCTCATACTTACAGTGTCATTTGTAACCAAGTACAGTAATTTAAATTTAGTAAGTGGACTTGGTAACTAGGTACGAGCTTGTGAATTCGACCACAGCCAAATTGTGTCAACCAAAAATTTTAGAAACTGATAAAAGACTAATCCTAACTTGTGTACCGTCTTTTAGAAATGAAGTGAACAAATCACCCGATTCATTCATATCAATGCGTGTTAATTAATAAACGATTAATTTGGCTTTTATAACGCCATGCTGAAACCAGATCACAAAGTAAAAAGTGATTCCACATGAATTTACATAACAAAACCAACCTGAATCACAAAAAAGACAACCGAGATTTAAGGACGGGATGTAACATGACGCAGAAGATTGCTTTCAGACGACATAACTGGTGAGACTATAATTTATGGACGAATCAATTAGATTTAGGATAATAGGTCTAGGATTTTAGAGCGAAATTTATTCACCCACCTGTCTAAATAGTTTCTTGGCATTTTAGCTGATGTGAGTTCGTGATGAAAACCGTAAACCTGATTCCTAGCCCTTACCATCAACTGTAAACCATAATTCAGGCCTATCACAGTGCTTTGTAACCCTCATTTAGCCCTGGTAAGTAGGCGGACATTCCCAAGGTCACTTTAGGGTCCGTAAACTATAGTCATAACACATAGCTAATAATTGTCTGTCAAAGTTTGTGACGGAACTAATACGAAAAACTTGCAACCAAACTATACAAAACACTACGTGCACTACTTACCTTAGACGTTTTTCTTCTTCATCTCTGTCAATATCTGGTAGAAAACTGGTGTCAACAGTTGGATTTTTCCCCAAGCGTCTTCGTTTAGTACAAGACTCATTGTCAGACTTAACGGTACCTTCTCCATCAGTTAGAACTTCTTCTGACTGAGGATTTTGTTCGGTCTACAAATCATCTTGAGGGATCTAAAATGTAGTACAACTTTTACTTTATCGGGTGACTCAGATTTGTCTACAGCGGTGGATGACTTTAGTTCATCCTCGACATCTTCCTCTTCAGCGAAAGACAGCAAAGACTACATCACATAAATAGGTACAATTTAAAAACCCACAGGCTGAAGTTTATTCTTTTTTTCTAATGTAGAATTGTCTGACTTGTGTGCGAGTCCTTTCGAGTTTCCTAGGGCTAATTCCTTCTCTCTTTGAGTCAGATAAGCCTTCTGTCGTGCTTTCATTTCATCTAAAGTTACCAGGCCAATCTAAACGTGGATTATATCGGCTAAATAACATACTGTGTTATTTTTCAATTGATATTCAATAGCATCATAATGTACAGCAAATTTGGTGGACATTTCACCGACACGCATCTCTGCCTCGAGTTTCCTTTTCTGAAGTTCTAGTTCTTGTCGCTCCTTTTCACGCTGTTTCATCAACAGAGCGGCTCTTTGTGCCTCTCTAGCAGCTCCCTTAAAAGTTGCCATTTTCAGGTGAATACGAAGCTTGCGCCGTTACGTGAACTGTTAGCGGCGGGAAACAGGAGACAGTATGGTGTATTAAAAACCTCTATTTTCATCCAGCACAAATAATAAAGAAGATTCTGTGCATCACTGAGACTGAAAGCACATATTTTTTAACCGTATTATACGGTGTTTTTGTTTGTAATTTTTTGTGTAATTTTGTAGCGTAATGAAATGGTTCAAATGGTTGTGGACAGAATAGAAGAAGCTTTCGCCTAACTGGCTTCCGTGTCTAGTAGCAGTGGATCACCAATACCTCCAGGCAAGAACCTAGTTATATTAACGATAAGAGAGGAAAACACAACTTGGTTAATCATGATAATATGTTATCCTTAGTCCTTAAGAATAGGCCAATTTTCCTCTTAAAGGACTGCTGGGAAGTCGCTTGGACTAGTTCAGTCGGCAGCGAATTACAGAATTTGACAACTTACGGAGTAGAAGTTGTGTCTACAGTCTGTTCTGCTATGTTGGGTCTCCAGTTTCTTGGTGTTACCCTTTAGGTTAGTATTGTAACTAAGCTTCAGAAGATGTTTAAGGGGATGACCAGAAGTGTAAAGGATACTGTAAGTCATGAGGTCACCTTTAAGACGTCTGTACTCTAACGGGTAAAGGTTAAGTGATTGGAGGCGCTCCTCTTAAGGTTTGAATTTGAGTCCCCAAACTGATTTCGTGGCTCGACGTTGGATACGTTCCAGAGTGCTCTCATCCTTTTGGCGGGAGGGAGGAAATACTATGTTTCCGTACTCTAAATGGGGACGAATAATCTTGTTGAGGATTATATGTAAAGTTGTACCGTCAAACTGGCCAAAAACGCTCTTCAATGTTACCAGTGCAAAGTTTGCTTGCAAGGCGTTTTTGTCACAGTTAGCGTACGACTTCAAGTCGTAGAGTACCGACACTCCTAAATCTTTTTTGAATTGGAATACATCTGAAGAGGAGTTTCTTAAATTGTAACTATAGTCTGCAACTTGTCGCAGATGAACTACTTTACACTTTGAAGTGTTGATGGTAAGTCCGTTGTAGACTGCACAACTTTGAAGTCGATTCAGATCCTCCCGAAGTGCTAGTATATCCTTTTGGCTACGCACCTCTCTCCAAAGTTTCACATCATCAGCAAAACAGCAATAAGCCAGATAAAGCTTATTGTAGAAGATCGTTTACGTAAATCGTTTGCGATTTCGGATAGATGGAGACAAAATGAAAGATTGGTTTAACGATCTTTAGTTCACAAGTGCAAAAAATAGTGAAGAGTTCCATGCGAGCTCTAAAGTGATTGAGAATGTGACACGGTGTTTAAACGAACAAAAGCTTTTGTAAACTATTTCTTCATGTTTTTACACCGAAAATTTGGTTAGGGCTGTTTCCAATGACAAATTACAAGGACTTTGAAAACCCGATTGCTCTTAGGGAGTCGAATTACGAATTATAGCCCGACAATCCTAATCCAAATTTTTTCTAGCACATGATTTTTTCGGAACCAGCAAGATTGTTTAAAAGTAGGTGCTTAGAAACAAATCAACTGAGATACATTGATGAGCATCAGCATACAATGGGCCAAACACTATTCCCAAGAATTTTAGGACAGAAGAACCGGACTGTGATCGCCAATCATTACTTTAAAATAAATTCGTACCTCAATGTAGAATCCTTCAAATGATTTGATGAATAAAAGTATATGTTAAGCCGTGTGGCGCCCGAAAGCCGATACTGATGCATTATGTGCTACGCGCTAACCTTCCTCCCTCAACTAACTACTTGAGAGACACCACGAGAGCGAAAGAGAAAGTATATTGGGCTATAGAATAAACTGCACAAATACTTTTTTACATTTACATATATATAGGTATATATACAACTCTACATTCAAGGGAATTGATCTATTTCCTAGTCAGTGAGATGCACTTGTCATTTGGGCCACTTCTCATTGCCATCAGTTATCTGGTGGAAAATTTGAGTTGGTGAGTTCTTTAACCGAATGTAGTCGTTTACCGCAGATGTGGTTTGCATGTCAATTCAGGCATTTACTTCGAACATCAACTTCGTAGATCACGTCACTGACTCTTCTTATGAGGAAACTCTCTACCCATGCAGGTCCCCATTGTCAAAAGTCTCTCATTTATACTGACAACCCATCAGGAAACTGACGTTCAATTCCCATCCCTTTGGGTTTATAATACTGCCTTCCTCTTTGTGAAGAGATACTATCAAATGAAGTTCAAATCCTCCTTCCGAACACTGAATCAACAGGGGAGATACCGTCGGGTGAGACCTGATTTGGGGTTATTCTATATGCTCTCAGAAATTTTTTGAATGACCTCTATCATCGTGCATTCCCCTTGTGACTGCATGAGAGCTCTTTTGAAATCATCGGCAAAGCACTTACCTTGACCTTTTCACTGGGCGATGGTAGGTTGGTGACTGAATGTGTGTGATGGTGTTCCGAAACCAGAAGTTCAATATTTCTGACGTAAATTGAGATCCATTGTCTTTAACTAGTGTTTCTAGACAACCAAACTGCCCGAAAATCCTATCCAGCACCATTATTGTTGATTTTATGTCTGATGCACTAAATAAATCTGTTGCCATTTTGTAAATGAGCCGATAGTAGTAACGTGTTGACACTGGTTCAGCAAAATCACTGTGAACACTGGACCATGGCTTTCCTGCACTTGGCAATGGGATGGATGTATTTCCAGTAGCAATTCCGCGTCTTGTTTACACATTGGGCATTCCTTTACAATATTTTCAACTTCTTGATCCATCAGTGGCCAATATACATAACTGGTCGGAATAACTAGGCGTTCTCCAAACAATAGACGCGAGTTGGTAATAGACAACGCGCCTAATCAACGGAAACACAATACTGGATCATTATCAGCCTCGTATGACCAGCCTCCACTATTATTAGCCTTATTCAACATTATATTTTCAGTACAATATAGAATTCTCAGTACAAAACATTTCAGCGAGTTTCCGTTTCTCATTTCTGAATCGATATTGACGATAAATATTAGGTGATCGCCAGTTAGATATTAGCATTTCAGAAGGCGATATCTAATATTTATTCTTTTCAATGCACAAAACCAGCCATCACGATGTCTGCGATTACAATCTCATTGAGTTACGACTGACTGGCTCACTATATGATTTTCAAAGACTGGACACCTAGTAGCTAGCAAGACTTTTCAACCACTTATGTGATAGGGAACTGGAACGATTAGATTTATTTCTCCTACCTGATAATGAAATTAGACTAGATCTCATATTAGCGCTCAGCATTTTGAATAAAAGCTTCATTGTTAACATATTTTATTTTATTTTATATCGTAGGCTAATCATTTTTAAAGCCACCACCAGTTTAAAAGACCACGATCGATGCATTGGTATTACGGCTTTATCATCAGTGTAAAACCAGTTTCAAGGCTCCTTCATTTAAAAAAGCATACAACATGTTTGAGTACGCGATGAGCCTTTTTATCCTAGAATGTCGCATAGTGATGATGGGAGTGCCACAGTTTCATATGCTATATGAGCACAGCACATTTCGAAGTAAATATCAGGGTAACATTGTGCATGTGGAGTAAACTGACTCATTTTACACCTGTTACCTCTCATGGAGTAAAGGCCGCCGACCAATGATCTCTTCACTTGTTGTAGCTATTTAGCATCAAGCCTTTTGATGTATCTCTCTAATGCTTGGCGCCATGCGTCCTTTAGTCTGCATCTTTTCCTTTCACTTTGAGAAATTCGGGCTAGAACTTGCTTTGTTAAACACTTTACTGACTTCTGTAAGGTGTAACCTATCTACTTCTGGCATATTTTCTTGATTTTTTCTTCAGTTCGAAGCTGGTTTGTTTTTTGACAGAACAGGTTATTGTTGACGGTTTTTCCGCCAATGAATCTAAAGTGTCTTACGTATTTAGCTATCTATAGACACCTGTTCTTTTTTGGTGATGAATTTAAGAAGAAGACGTGCAATCGATTACAGACACACTCCAATTTAAGCTGTGGCGGATGTGGTGTTTATATGAACCAATGATTTCCTTGTAGTGATGACTGTTTTGATTTTGAATTCCAAATACAGTTCATTTGTCCGTGCTCATCTAATATTTCTTGATTAAATTGAGTTGTTATGGTGATCAAAAGTATTTGAATTGTAGTATAAACTAGTAATCCCAGGAATAACGCAATTTATTCAAGAAGTACAAGAGGAGCACAAACGAATGTATTGTATTTGGAATTCAAAATTACAACAGTCATCAATACCAAGAAATCATTGGTTTATTTAAACATCACATCCGCCACAGCTCGAATTGGAGTGTAAGTGTCTGTAATCGATTGTTCGTCTTCTTCTTAAGTTCATCTTACATCTGTCCGACGGTTTATTGGATGTAGACTCTGTATTATCTAGAATGCACTCATTAGTATTAGAATTAACAACCGAAATTGGAACAGACTCACCTGGCTTCTGGAATTGTATACAATCAGCACTCCGGCTTTGTAGTGAAACCATTGATATTTAGAATTTGCATCATAGACTTTCCAACAATATCCTCCCCTACGAAATAATGTTGAGTCCTTACGCCGTAATGTTTTAGCCAATATGACGTTTCCAATTTGCAGTATCTTCTGAAATCTCACGCATCGACTACTGTGAGTATTTGGGGATAAACACTGATATATAATTTGAGGTATTCCATCACGTGACTTTGACTTGAATAAAAATCATGATACATAGTCTTTTTGTTATTCATATTAGAATACGCAGATGGATATGCACTGATATATGTAATTAACACATGTGATTCAACTAGGCTTGATTTACCTGCGAAACAATCGAATAGAAAACATTCATCTGCTTCATATTCATTAGAATAATCTTGGACTTGATTTGGATTCTCTGTCTGCGCAAACTTCACTTCTGGGCAAACTGGTTCTCTGATTATTTCGGTAAATTTTGCTATCCCCTCTGATTCATCATACCCCTGACTAGGGATTCTGTTCAACATGCATTGTTCGTGAGAGTATCCAACATCTGACACAATAACATCAGAAATATGACTAGAATTCGACTCATTAGGAACATATTTGTCACATTCATTAGGGATATCATTAGAGATAAATTGATTGTGAGGACCACGGACACTTGATATGATATCAGAATTCGACTTCTCTGAAATATTTTCCTAAAATTGATTAAGAGTTCCATTAGATAATGGATCATCAGGGAATTCAGCATCCACCATGACTGAATTTGGTTTTTGATCATGATTTGACTCATTTAACATTCTATTCTCAGAGTTGCAAGATATTCCATCAGAAGTATGTGAATTATTACGACAAACCATATCCGGTTCAATGACATGAGAAATCCGATAAGCTTGTTGGTTAAAATTTTTTGTCTCACAATGATTCTGAGTTTCATTCAACTCTGGACTACTATGTGACGTTATACCACTTCTAGATAAGGATGACTGATCATTAGAAGCATCCATCTTAGCATTACTTTCAGCAAAATGAAGCATGGTATTACAAACTGACTGAATGTGTCCAGTTTCACCACATTTAAAGCATTTAGAATTACGAAATACACATGAATTACATGGGTGAAACTTGCCATAGAACACGCATTTACTAAACTCGTGCTCATCTTCATGGACTGTTTCACAGCTCAATGAAGTATTATCTGAATAACTTTGATTACGCATCGAACTGCGACGACTTAGTAAATTAGTGGAATTCCTGATGTTCTGTCGAGTCATTTTACCAGATTTTTCTCTCTTACCGCATTCGGAATTTGTATACTTTACATGATCCAACAGTAGTTGCTTGAGAGTTGCATAGGGGAGTGAAATCGGTTTGTCTGGAAGTGCCAAAATCTTTATAAGGCTGTATGCTTCTTTTCCGATGAATGTAAGGAAATGGGCCACAATTTTAAAATCTTCATCATCTTCCTTGGTCATAGCTCAGATTTCGAACCTCTCCATGTACTCCTCAAAAGCATTGAAATCTGAATTTATATCCAACCGTTCCATCACAGACTCAATCGCGACGCCAATATGATAATCAGAAGTATTTGAATTTTAGTATAAACTAGTAATCCCAGGAATAACGCAATTTAATCAAGAAGTACAAGAGGAGCACAAACGAATGTATTGTATTTGGAATTCAAAATTACAACAGTCATCAATACCAAGAAATCATTGGTTTATTTAAGCATCACAGTTGTTTTGGTGATTACTAGTTTATACCATAATTCAAATACTTCAAATTACCACATTGTGGCAGTCCACTTGGCTTCAGCTCCATACAACAGATCTGTTTCGATGTTAGAGTTCAAAGTTCTAACTTTATCCTTGAGTTATAAATATTTTGAGTCCCAGATATTTCCTCCATTTGTAGAAACGTGTCTTGTTACCTTGACATCTGTATTACATCCCCTTTAATTATAAACGATACTATCTAGAAAACGTAAACTTCTCCACCTCTTCCAGAGCTTCTCTGTTAAGTGCAACTTGGTTGGTTCGTTTTAGTTGTGTTGTATTTCGGGATCTTGATTTTTCTCTTGTGTATGTTGGACCTAATGTTGCAGAGGCCGCTGTTACACCCCAATTATCTTCCCCTGGATTTCTCGCTGTGAATGTGATAGGAGAACAACATCATCTGCGAAATTCAAACCGTCCAGATGCGTCCGACACGTCCACCTTGTTTTGTGTTCTTTCTGAGGTGGAGCGTGCATAATACGGCCAGCTATCAGAAGGAAGAGAGCTTGGGAAAGTAAACAGCCGTATTTGACTCCGGTCCTCACTTAGAATTTATCTGTCAGCTTTCCTTCATCCATCAATTTGAAGTGCAGTCAATCATGTAAATTCAGGATGACATTGGCGATTTTCTCAGGCACACTATAGTGTCGAAGGTTTCATAAAGTTCTATCCACACTGTCAAGTACTGTCTTATAGTCAAGGAATTTGATTTATAATAAAGATTTTCATTCAAATGATTGTTCAAAGATGATCCGTAGTACCGCGATTTGATCTGCGCACGACCGATTCCTATGAGACCAAACAACAATTCGTTGAAAAAGTTTTCCGATTGTAGTGTGATTCCTTTGTGGTTCTCACACTTACTCAGATCTTCTTTCCTTGGTATCTTGATGGAGTATCATTCTTTTCATTTTGTCTGTGGCACTTATTCTTATTCCCAAATATTTCTGAGTGGGATATGGAGTATCTTTGCAGCTGCCTCCATTTATGACCTCAGTGTTTCAGCTGGCATGCTATCCCGCCTTTCTATCTCACCATCGTTGCTCTCTCTGATAGCATTGGTAATATTTGCTAATAATAGAGCGGTGTCATCTTTGAAGAGTTCTGTATGCAACCTCTCAATGTTCAGTGGGTTCAGCCCCTACTTGAGCTTGTTGTCCATCGTACAGAGTAAGCATCCAACCAGCCCTTCGGAGCGATCCGTCCACTCTTTCCATTGCTATTGAGTCTTGGCAGTCAGTTCGCCCTATTCTTCCTCGACCAGTCGCTCTGCTTTGCCGTATCTGTTTGCTGGCTCATGTGTCATTGTTTTCCATAGGGGTTTTCTCTTCTCTGAGTATATCTTGCAATATTTTGGACATATTCTCAAGAGCCATTCTGAGTTAACTGGATTGGTTAATATTTTGAAGGAAGGTTGTTTTGAACTTTTGCAGTGTTACTTGTTTAATAGTTCGATGGTTTTTCAGCCTGTAAACGACGAGATGTTGATCTGAGGTTATATCATTTCCTCTCTTTGTTTTTATATCGTGCTGGAATTCATATCTGTAGAGATGTGATAAATTTGGTTTTTAGTAGAGTGGGATGTGAAACCCGTACGGCTCTTTTTATATAGTTTTGAGGAAAAGTGATGTCTCCTATATGGTTTGCAGAGTGTTTCTGATGGATCACTTCACATCCCGAAGTGTTGAAAGTATTTTCACTGTAGTCTGTCAAACTTTAGAGTTGATTACAAACTTCCTGAACCAGTAACTAGTTATACTAGTCTCATGATTCTCCATGAAGCTTAGCATCATCAACAAAAGTGATATCTACGAGATTACTAGCTCAGGAAGATCATTTGTATAAAGTAAAAAGGAAGAGGTCCTAGTGTAATGAACAAGAACACGAGTGGGGGACAATCAAATGTATTTAAGCATAAATTACAGACTATCTCACTAAATTCTGATAACCAAACAGCAAACAGTTAGATTGCAAACTAACAACCAACTGTCTCAATCTTCAGTGTTCCTTCTATAAATATCAGTTCATCTTCTCTAATTCCATTGTTCATGCATTTTCCTACCAATTGCGTTTCATTTCAGTTCTATGTCTGACTATCACCATATGCTACTTATATGGATATAAGTAGACCACACTACACTAGTACTGAACCTTGCAGGACCCAGCCAGGACATTCGATAGTCCAAAAAAAGTTAAAGCTTGATCTGACCTTAAAAATTTGACCACTAGGATATTACTAAAGCCAGTCAACCAGTGATGACTTAATAACTATCAGTCTGAATTTATTGGTATGACACGTATTATCGGCTGATTAAAAGCTTTTGGAAAATCTAAGTACGCAACACTCACTTTCTCCTTAAGACAGAAGAAGGTGGTTGAACTATTCATAGAGGAAGATAGCAGAAGTGAACATAAAGCAAAATGTCTGAGTAATCTTATCATCTAGAGTCCTTAACTGACGTTCTCGGAACCAACGTTTTTATTAGCGTTACTCCAATGAGCAACGTCTCAAGAGATGATCCATTTGAATAGGCATAGCAAAAGTAGCTATTTACCGCCTTCATCATCGGTTCATCTAGAGTCATCCTTCACATTTGCTATGTATGAGTTTTACCGTGCGTATATTTTTGAAATATAAACTAAGAAAATATCACATAGAGCTTTCAAATGTAACTTCTTCCATGTTAGTCTCAAGTTGAATTTAACAATTACATACTGGCTAAAAACATCTTGTTTAATCTATTTTAAGTGGTGTTACATCTTAACTACGCCAAGACTAATAGGCACTCACCAGTACCACCTAGTCGTGCTCTTACATATATATATATATATATATATATATATATATATATATTCTGTTTATCACCAACAAATCAATAATCTAGATAAAAACAAATCACTGGTTTTGTTCAGAGGGTATTTAAATTAATTTTACGGTGGGTTCGTTGTGTTTTACTGAACATCAGATGTGTTATAAATAATATTTGATTTCTTTTCTTTACAAATAACAAAACAAAAAAAAGAATAAAATGAACAAGAAATAATATTCAATAAAACAATAGGTAAGTGATATTTTTTAAGATTATTTTTTTAGATTACTATAGTGGATTTAAGTATATATGTATACATTAAACATATAGTATGCATACATTTGTTTGTTTTCCTCCCTCTAAAAGAGACAAGACTGTTGATAGTTATGATTTTACTGTTGTCATTGGTTTGCTTTCATCTAAATTTCATATCTGAATAGTAATCATGTTTGTTTATATTGTGTTTATTTTGCCAATGGAATGATCTTCATGTTTTGATAGATGATTTCTTCAATGGTGCAATTCTTTTTAAATATTTAATAAATCCATTGAAATATTACATTCGATATCGAAGTGCTGAATTAATGGTACTACCATTAGAATGTTGATTTGAGTGTAGATTTTGAAATCCATCTCTTGTTGTTCTACACCATTCTGAAGATGTTGAACCTCCTGAATTTTCCTAACAAAATAAAAAATATTTTTAGACAATAATATTTTAAGAGAAAATTGTAGATAATCTACAAAAATTGTTTAAAAATTTGATAGTCTTGATTAGATGACTACTGCGTTTGAAAGATCGTTTATTTATTTTCTTTTTTGCATAGTTCACTTCACTATTCTTCAAAATTCGAATCAAATTCAAACTCAGGAGTTTGAAGGTAAGGGACTCATTGCTGAATTTCAAATACCTGAACTCGATCCCTGGTGAATTCCAATGTATAAACTAATAAGAAGTATTAAGACATTCGATTACCAATCACGAAATGATACAATTTTAAAGAATTTTTTAAAATCATGAACTTATTGTTTAATTATGTTCAATGAAATGATATTATTTGATTAGTGTAAACATTTAGATTGTTGACTGAAATGAATGCGTCATTAGTATACTACATTCTTGAGAATATTCTAGTGGATAGGATTATGATATAGTTCGTGTACACTTTTTTTTCTTAGATCATTATATTACAATATAATGAGATAATAAATCAATATTATCAGTAGACTTTTATTTCAGTTCAGATTTGGATGACTCCACAAATCATGATTTCTCAGTGGAAAATTAAGAAAATCAAATATGAGCAAGTAACTATTATGTAAAAGACTAAAATTTAATTAGATAATATCCAAAGAATTTCGACATGATTATAGTATAGGGACGAGCTTGAAAAAAACTGGAAGAGTTCTCAACCAATTAAGAATAAGCCTCAGTAAATAGATAGTTGATGGAAAATAAAATAATTACATTACAAAATGTAAATAGATTCTACATATATAATGAATATATTACTTTTCTATATGTTATGGTGCCTCTAGGGTGAAAAAAAACAAAGTGCAAACTTGTGCTTATGAATATAGATTATCTATCTTGTCAAATTTTTATAATCACCTAAATAGATTTTTAACAGTTCCTATAGTGTTCTTCTTTAGGGTTAAGATTTTCATTATGAATTGACATTACCTACTTTTATCAGAAATTTTATAATCTGATGATGATTTCTATCAAAAACTCAGTATCCTTAATGATCACTTCCTCAATGTGAAATTCAAAAGTTATTGTCACAGTCCCATATAGTGTTCTGAAGTGTATACTGTTTAGGAATTCATTCTATAAGTACTCTTATTATGAAAACCATTTATGTGTTTTTCGTTAAATATCATCAAAATTTATTTGTAGAGATGGATGGTGGTTAACAGTGGAATCCTGGACGCACGTTCCTTCCTATTTGAGACTCGTCGGCTGGATGTGCTTGAATCTCAGAGTTGATGTTCGCTCCAGGACTCCAACCCATAGCCGTTCTCGTCAAAAGTCATCGTGTTATCCACTTCGCTGCTGAGTCCAGATACTCACTAGCTTGTGATAGCCACCATCCATCTTGGCTTATAATGGTTGAAACTTAGGGGAATATCAAAGTAATCCGTACAGGATACACATATGCCAATAAGAGACTGATCAATCGCAATCCTAAACAACAATCAGAAGATTCAAACAACCAATATAAAAATGAATAAAATTTATTTGTATTTGAACTAATATCTTTTAATGTATTCAGTCTTCTGCTTTGTTTAATTGACATAATTATTTATTATTTCAGTGTAATAATTATATTAAAAAGTATATATAATTAGTGTTATTCAATGTAAAGCATATAGAAATAAATAAAATCAAGACTCATTAGTTAAATCATTCTAATTCAATTAAATTATTATCCATTCTAACTCTTTTTTATCCTATTCTGATAATGTAAATCAGATGATTTTATTAACCCTCTACATATATGGAGAAAGATTAACAGGTTAGTTATATGAATTTGTATAAAATCGTTGTGTCGTGTTGTAGTGAACAAGAACACGAGTGGAGACAATCGAATGTATGTGACGTGCAAATTACAGACTATCTCAGTAAAATCTCACAACCATACAGCAAACAGTTAATTTACAAAATAATAATCAATTGTCTTAATTCTGACCGCTCCTTCTGCAAATATCAGTCCATCTTCTCTGATTTCATTGTTCATACATTTCCGTGTTGATTGCGTTTCATTCCTTCTCTTTCCTTATCGATCTTCTATTGAAATACATTCTATCCCTGACCATGATATACTATTTATGTGGATATAAGTAACCCACACCACACTGTTACCTTTTTTCTTCTTTTATAGAAATGTAGCATATATATATATATATATATATATATTAATCAGTTTATTATATGAGTAGATATGACGTTATTATGCATTTTGAATAAGCTAGTTTAGTAAGCAAAGATGGATAGTGGCTAGCAGTGGAATCCAGGGCGCGCGCTTTGTCCTGTTTAGGACTCGTCAACTGGATGTACCTGAACCTCAGAGTTGATGTTCACTACGTGCCTTTCGCTTCAAACGCCATGGCGTTATCCACTCACCTACCAAGTCCTGATAGCCACCTGCTTGTGCAATGAGGTGAAGATTCAAACAAACAATACCAAGTGAATTCGTACTTTAGATTTTTAAGCTCAAAAGGTAGTATAATAATTATAGATTACAGAATAACAATCTAATGAATGATAGTTCTATAATCAATTAACTTGTTATTTGTAATATAATCATCTTCATCTTTATTTTATATAGTTGAGATCATGAGTTAATTGAAGCTAGACCACAGTGGAAAACCTGGAAGCACTGGATGGCCGTCTTGTCCTATTATGAGACTCCTCAGAGGTGCACAGCCATGATCTTTATTATTTGGATTAATTTAATGAATAAAATTACATTAAAAATTATAAGAAACTATTCATTTTCATTTCTTTATTTCTTTCCAATATTCTTATAAATTGACTAATGAACTTTTTAATTTAATGAAATAAAAGTTGACATTTTTTTTGAAGAAATATTCAATTAGTTATCCTGTCAACAATAAAACTGATTACGTAATCAGTAAGTGTGAACATATTCTTTGATTATTTCTTTTTTTGTGTGTGATTAAACTAAAAAGAATGAAAAACGTAACACATCGCTTTTTCACTTCATTAAAATTTTAATTCATATGAACATGCGAGTAAAATTATCGAATTATTATTAGAAGTTATATTGTATAGAGCAGATGGTCCCAGTCTCTCTCTTTCTCGCGCGCTCTGTTTTATTCGTCAGATTCAATAAGATATATTATAGTCATCACCATCATCATCATGATTATCATCTTGAACAAGTTCTTTTTATTCAAGAGAAAGAAAATAACTGGAAATTGCTTTACATATAAGAAACAGTAACCAGATGGTGTAGCATTTCGAATCGATACAGCTTTCTTTGTGGAATTTTACAGAGAATAAATATAACCATATTATTATTATTATTATTATTATTATTATGTATGAATGACCACTTAATTTATTTTCTTTCTTTTTACCAATCAGTACATAACTATAAAGTGTTTGTTACATAACTTTATTGATAAAATATGAGGGGGGGGGTTAGGAAATACATTTGACTAGTTAGAACATTGTTAATTATGTAGAGATTATGGTTAGATATTTCAGTTCACTAACTTCATATTTATTCAATTATTCATACAAACATGTATGTACATATTTGCATACAACGAATAAAGAAAGAAACCATTAAGATGCTTCACTTAGTACTGTTTGCTAGCCACTATCCATCTTTGCTTACATTATTAAGATGCTTGTCTGTACAATTTAATACACATCTAATTGTATAGACATTATTTTTAGTTATCTAACAATGAGATATAGAAAGAAAGAAATCCATCTGTCAAATAATTATTGACCTAACGCAATGGATAAATTCTCTGTACTTATGAATTTGTATTATTTTGGTCAAACGTTTTATTTTCTGTTCCAAAATGTTTTTTCTTTTCTTTTTATTTTGTTTAAAAGAGAAAGGAACAATTAAGATATTAAATTGAAAACAAAAAAATAAAAATGATTTTTCTTTTTTTGTTTTAAAAATGTTTTATTATTTTTGGTAGTTGAGATCAGGAGTCGATTAAAGCTAGACCACCATGGAAAACCTGGAATCACTGGACGACCGTTTCGTCCTAATGTGGTACTCCTCAGCACTGCGCATTCACGATCCCACATTTTTAGCTTAAAGGTACGATCAAGTTATCAGAATTTTTATTGATAACACATGATACTTTACAGATGATTAAGTAGAGATGAAAAATGTAAAACCATTAATATATAAGACTATAGTTATTTGATACTCTTAGGATTATAAAGTGGTAATATTAAATCTAAGCTTCGTTATTTCAATGACAGTGTTAATACAATAAGATCTAGGTTTCATCACAATAGACATCAACAGTGTTTAATCCCAGAAAATAAAAAAAAATTGGAGAAAATAATTATATGGTATATTAGAAGTTCCTCAAATGGCACAAGTTCTAATGGTTAAGGCTTCTATACAAGGCGTAAATGCCATGGGTTTGAACACCGATAAGGTGCTTATGTACTTCCAAAGAAACATGTACAAAGATAAAACAGATGTCTAGTGGTTTCTGGTTTTAAATGGTCGCATAACTAAGATCAGTCATTGATTTAAACTTTAAAAAGAGGCAGTTATTTAGTGATCTTTAACACTTAAATGTTCATAGTTGATACTGATCAGTGGTTGATTCGAGAAAGGTTTATGTTAATTGAGATCAAAATAAAACTTGACTAGTGAGTAGATTGTAATTAATCGACAAAGGATTAAGAAAAGAGTTAGGAGACTAATGTTTACAGTCTGATTATAGTCTAGATACTTCCCCTGATAAACTTTTCATAGTCGTAAATGAAGATAATTGCTTTGTAATTCATTATAAGCCTAATTCAAATTATACATATAATACTTTAAAGTTCATACGTTGTTTTATCACTGACTTGAGTACCGATCCATTCGCAACTACCAGAGTACGTATTAGATAGTCCTGGAAATCACTACTTATTAGATCAAACTCAATTATATTATTTCTACTCTTCAAACAATATTAATTATCATAATAACCAACGTAACATAAATACAAATTAATTTTCAACTTACTAAGTGTGAATAAATATTTGTGAATGCAGTATTTATGGTACTTATTGGAACACTTGTTAGACTAGACTGTGTTTCATCGGCTACAGATGAATCTTCAGTTTCCATGTTCGGTAGAAACCTGGGGATATTGGATGATGAATCGGTTTCATTCAATTGTATAAAGCCGGATATTTGATCGTGATAGACCCTGGAATTGTTATGTTCACTGTCTAATGGTGCATTGTTACTCTCATTAGCATTTCCGTTTGTATTTACTGCCTCGTATTCTAGTTGCTCAGTAGATAAACTCGTATCATTTGTCGTATTAATATATGAAGAGTCTACGCTACTGACATACATATTACTTACATTACTGTTATCAGCAATATGACTGCGGTTTCTCATGAAATGGGATTGTGGAAAATTCCGTCCCGGTAGTCGGTTAGATGATGGTGATGATGAAGACATTGATAATGAAGATGATGGTAATGCTGTTGAGGTCGACGAACCTTCTTGACTAGGAATTGTTAATGTAGAATTATTTGCAGAAGTATCCGTATTTTCTAGATAATGACTATGATAAATATTATTTATTTTACTTAAATTTCGTAATTTCGCGATTTTGCTTAATGAAATTATATTCGTTGTAGATTCTTCTGGGATAATATCTTCTACTGAAGCACTTATTGATGATAATGTGGCATGTACATTTGTATCTGTATTCGAAGCTACAGTGCTCGTTGAAGTAATCAAACTGGAATTCAGTGAACTTGTATATTCTGAAGAAAATGATGGAATAAAAAATTGCGCGTTACTATTATTAAAATTGTTTTTACTGTATGGGAATAATGTGTTCAGTTGCGCTTGATCTGGATTTTTTTGTTTCGGAAACTCACAAGCTTCATCAGCCGTTACATTTTGATTTAATTGGTGATTATGTTGATGACCATGTGACAATTGTAATGATTTTTGATTTCCTATTTCATTGATAAATAAATCATTCGAAGAAATATTTATATTTGGTTCAAGTGAACTAATTGTTTGTTTTAATTGCTCACAAATACTTTGACTTTTGAAATGTCGATAAGAAGGTGTGGGTGAAAAATTACCTCGATAATTATTAGATTGTTGTGTTGAGTAGTTACTTTGTTCATCAGATACATTTTCTGCTCGTTGTGGTAAGTGTTGTGAAGTATTTGACAAAGAAATTGTTGTATGTGCTTGACAGATTCCTGCAACAGCAACTGCGGCAGCCGCAGCAGCTGCTCGTTGCATCAGTGGTCCAGAAGATAGATCTGGTAAAAAGGATACAGGGTTATTAGAAAAGTGAGGTGTTGTTATAATAGGTTGCTGCATTGATGGTTGCTGTTGTGATTGGGGAAGTTGAGTAGAATGTGAATCATTCTGGCTGGATAATTCATTATTTATGGAAAGTGATGTTGACGTTAACTCTAAACTGTTTGAAATCGGAGAAGTAGCTAAAGGAAAAATATTTCCCCTTCTCGCTCCAGGATTATTATTATTAACACTATTAGTATGAGGTGAGAATGAAGTATATGACGGATATCCCGAGTTAAATGTGGGTGAAAACACTTTTTTAGGCATATAAGGAAAATTAGATCCATAATAGCTCATTAAAGCATTGGTGTTAGTTAGACCTGGTTGAATACCTAATGCAGATGTACCGATTAAGTTAGTTGGCAGTGACATACAAGAAGAATATGGAAAACCACTGTCAACGCCAATACTAGTGCTACCATTATTGACATTATTAATGTCATTATTATTATTACCACTATTACTGTCAAACAACGAATGACTGTTAACAACTCCATTTGGTGCCATAGTCATAGAATTTCCATTATAAATACTTGAATGTGTATAAGAATGAAGATGAGATCCTTGACCAGATGACTGATATGTATTACGCAAACTATGAAATGGTTGATTATATTGTAAATGTTGAATATGTCTATGTTCATGTTGTTGGTGTTGTTGCTGTTGTTGTTTTACTAATTGCTTTTCTTGTTTACGATATTTAGCTCGCCTATTTTGGAACCATACCTACAAAATGTAAAGAAAACAAAAAAAAGACAAGATAATATTTTAGAAAGTGTTAAGAATCAGTTGAAAATGCCTATATATATATATAATTATTACTATTATTATTCCTATTCTTCTTATTATTATCAAGGCACTCACTTGGATACTTAATATTGAATATAGTTATGAGTATACAGTTATGAAGAGTTGAGAAAAGTAGAATTAAATCAATGATTTCATGCTTATTAAAGTTTCGATAAGTCATGTATTTGTAGCATTATTAGTATGAATGGAATTAGGAGTATTTAGTGCAGTGTACAAATTTGTAATTTGTAGATCTGTTCAATATTTACTCAAGTAGTCACGAATAAATAAGCAGTCAAATGAGAGATAAGACAATGTAAACATTTGAAGGTATTGCAGTGTAATTCAAATGATGTGCTTGATAATGTAAAAATTAGTCATTATTATGTATAGATATCATGATTGCATAATCAAACTCTGCTTTTCGACTAAAAATTTCAAAACAAATGTTTATTGTATATAGTTGAAGTCATGAGTCAATTGAAGCTGGACCACCATGGAAAACCTGGAGGCACGGGATGGCCGTTTTGTCCTATTATGGGACTCCTCAGCAGTGGGCATCCACGACCTCGCTTCCAGGTTTTCCCTGGTGGTCTAGCTTCAATAAACTCATGAACTCATCTATATAAAATCACTAAAATCTCCACAAAACCCCCTTCTGATATATTTGAATTGATGAAAATTCGTCTCCACAGTAAAGTCAATTATTAACAGACTAATTTGAATGGAATGTATCTTATGATAACTCTGACTGAAATGACCTTACTTCTTTGAGGGAATAATATTCACAATTTCATTTAACGTAAAAATATACATTCAGTAATCTGCATAAATAGCGGTCAGATAATTTACATTTTCTGTAATCTTTCTTAAGAATAAGGCTGAAAGTTACTGTTACTAAAACTAATCAATGATGGGTACTTGAATATTTGTAAAGATTATTTCTAAAATGAATAAATTATATAAATATATCATTTTTGTGTATATAGATGAGCTGATTGGTCTGTTAAAATTCACCTAATACATCATTGAATGTAAATTAATGACTCAAAATGAATTGTTCCCCTTTGATCTTTTGAATATATGATGATAATATTGATCATGTAATCTTATTCAAAGTTTAAGTCTGAGGCTATGTACCTAATAACTATCAAAATCAATATTTACTAAATAATCAACTTATATAGATTTATTTGATATTAATAATAATTTTTATCAGAAGGGGTTTTGTGGAGATTTCAGTATTTTTCATAGTTGAAATCATGAGTCAATAGAGGCTAGACCACCATGGAAAACCTGGGAGCACTGGACGGTCGTTTCTTCTTGTTGTGGGATTCCTCAGCAGTGCGCATCCACGATCCCGCACTCGTGAGATTCAAACCCAAGACCTACCAGTCTCGCACCAGAGCACTTAACCGATAATTTTCATCATGAAATGATATAAACGATAGAAAATAACTATCACTAGGTTTCTATTTTATTCTGTAGTGATAAACAAGTAAGGCTTAACAATTTGTCCAAATAGTTATATTAACTTCATGGTGTTCATAAACTTTATTGAATTGATTACAATTAATTAAATATATATGTTTTTGTTCACTCTCTTTGTTACTATTCATTTGCCAAGTCTCTAATAAAACTGTTATATATATATATATATATATCCAGTTAGTTTCATAATATTTCTTCGGTCGATAGAACACCGTAACATTTACGTGTACATATTCTTTTGTAAGTGGAATTTCATGAATGCGAATCAATGGACCATTTAGTGCTACTTAGCACATAGGCTAAAAATTTACTCTTGTATAGCTATTTCTAATGTCACGCAAAGATGGATGCTTGTGAATTAAGGCTATATCGAGGCAATAATCACAGTATGCACATATGCCAATAAGAGACTGATCAATTGCAGTCTTAAATATCAATGGGAATATTCAAACACAACGATACTAAGTGAATTTTATTTCTAATTTCGTTCTAATATTGTTTTTTGACAATTACCATACGTATTTTCTTTCATTTGTTTGTCATTTTTGTATTTGATTCATTTTGATTTAAGACAATTATAATTTAGAACTTATAAACAGTATGGATTCAATAATAAATAACATACAGTTACATTTTCAATAGACTATAAACGAACTAAAAGTATAATAAACCATAAAATGTTTTCATAGTTGAAAGCGTGAATCAATTGAAGCTAGACCACCAGGGAAAACCTGGAAGCACTGAATGGCCGTTTCGTCCTATTGTAGGACTACTCAACAGTGCGCATCCACGACCTCGCCTCGTGAGATTTGAACCCAGGACCTACCAGTCTCGCGCCAGAGCACTTAACCGATAGACCAGTGGTCTATCAGACTAAACTCTAGAAAACGGTCATTCTATGCTTACAACATACTGGATTGATGAACATGACTTAATAAGATTTAATTCTTATTTTGAATTCGACGATACAATGGGACATCACTGAAATTTTATCATTTTAGTCTGCATACTATAAATTTAATATTTATGTATATATTCTTAGTATACTCAAATTACTTGTAGCAGGTTTACCAACTTTTACCTTAGGGATAAATAAGTATAAAATAAATATTTATTCAATGATCATTTCAATCAAAAAAATTCTTCTCTTGTTCCTTTTTTCCATCTTTCATTTTCTTCTTCATCTTAATTTATATTCAAGTTTTTTTTCTTGTTTTTTTTGAAAAAAAAGAGAAAAACATCTTGAGAAACCGATTGAAAATAATTTAATTACATTTAGTTTACCTATTTGGATTGAATAAACGGCTATTAAAGTGTTAAATGTTCAAGAAATTATATACATATATGTATATATCATAAGTATGTTCAACAGTTTGTTCAACTGTATTTTGTTTATCTACATAACTATTTAAAATTCAAAGTAGATTGATACTAGGTCAGATTAATTGTGTTAGGGGGGGGGAGAAGTAGATTCATGTATATATGTAATGTATATGAGTATATCCTTATTTAACCACTTCATGGGAGGAATAAATAATCAATCAAATAAATATATAGAAATATCAGTGATCAGTTTAATTTTTTCTTTCTTTCATCATTTCAATTCAATAACGACAGTAAAATAAGATACTAATATGTATTTCAACTTTTCTCCCTCCCCCCCCCCAAAAAAAAACCTAGTTAAAGATGTTACTTGAGGTACATTTATGTTTCTATGATATATACACTTACGAATAGATCGACAAAAAAACTTCTCCTTTTTTTAAAAGTTAACTTCTCCATCCTAAAATTTTCGATATTAGTTATGTATAAATAATAAATACACAGTTTAAAGTTAACTTGATATATACGAAGAAGAAAAAAAGATGGAGAAATTAAAGTAGAAAAGAAAAAAGACTAGTTAATTGTTCCCTAGGGTAGGAAGAGAAGTAACAGTAAGAATAAGAGTCTTTCTGAGGGAGGGAGGGAAAAAGAAAGAGAGAGAGAAAGAGAGACAACTGAAATAGGTAAAATATGATAAACAACGGAAAAAATAAATAGTCAATAAATAAATAAATATTTCTTACTGAAACATGAGAAGGTAGATAATATAAGAAGATATTAGAAAGAATTAATAAAAATGTATAAAATATTAACCTAAGAGAATACTACCGTTTGTTTGTTTTGTTTCAATAGTTGAGATCATAAGTCAATTGAAGCCATACCACCATGGAAAACCTGGAAGCATTGGACGACCGTTTCGTCCTATCATGGGACTCCTCAGCAGTGTGCATCCACATCAAAAGTTTTTTTAGATTATTTGTTGCAAAAAAGCGTTAAAACATTGGCTGAATTTTGTTGATTAATCAAATGATGACCATAGAACACTGGATATGTCTGTCATTTTATGATAGAACTCCTCATTAGTATAGATAGAGGACTTTGCTAGGAATCTAAAACAATACGTTTAAGTCTTACAAAATGTTAGTCAGTCGCATAACCAAATTAGAGTCTGACAGCTATGTGCATCTGCCCAAATTGCCACATCATATCGGTACAGTGAGATGAAATTATCAAGAGAAATGTTAGAGTGGTAGAAATGGTAGTAAAAAAATTATGCAAAGAATAGGATATACCATGACAAGTAAACTGATATCTAATAGTTTGCATTTCTATGACCTATAAAATTCAATCATATAGAGTTTGTGAGAGTTACCTACTTATTAGATCTAATAAATATTGAATTACCCTAAAAATCTGATGAACTTGGAAATGTGAGATATTAACTTCTAATTCAGCCATTCGAAAGCATCATTTTTGATGAGGCACGTGAAAGCCTTAAGTTCATCAAATATCTTCATCTACGTGAAAAAAAAGAACAACCAACTATTTCAGTCTGATTAATTTTTATTATTTAGCTATATGTTTGCATAACCTTCTCTTTAATATACATGGCAATTTTAACGTATTCAATATATTCCTTGATTTCCTTCATTCAATCACATAACACACAATAACCTAACTATCATTTAAGGTTATAACAAAAGTATGATATTGTAAACAAGGAAAGACATTTACTTGTATTCGTGCTTCATTTAACTTTGTCATTCTTGCCAATTCTTCACGACAATAAATATCTGGATAGTGAGATTTTTGAAAAGCTGATTCCAACTCTTGTAGTTGATCTTGTGTAAATGTTGTACGATGACGTCTTCTAGCTGGTGTTGGACATGAGCTGGCTGTAGTTGTCGTTGTTATTGCTGTTGTCATGGCTGAGTAATGACCAGTTGTTCCAGACAGTGAAGCATGCTTTATTCCACCAGATGATGGACTTTCATCTGTAGACAAAGAATGTAATGATTCCGGACTACAAGGTGATTGTATATTACTCAATGAAATATCATGACTAATTGTATATGGATTAATATTAGTACCAGTACGATTTAATGAACTAGATCGTAAATGATGCATTGTATTTGATAAACAGCTTACACCATTAAGTAGTAATGGTGGCTGCGAAGCGTATGGATGTGGTAATGGCGGGCCATTTTGATTCAACCCAGATGTTGTCAAATTCGATGAGAGTGGAGGATTTGGAAACAGAAGACCTGCTGTTGAACTATTAAAATTGAAACCGGTCAGTGATTTCACAAACGAAGATGCAGCAGCAGAAAGACTTTGTTGAGTAATTGGATCAAATGGAAGTCCAGTATCTGCTGAATCCATTGTAAGTGTTTGATGATGGTGATGATGTGTTTGATGAAAGTGGCCATGTTGATTCGATTTCATTTCTTTATTGGATGGAGGTGATTGATCGGAACTGAAATCTCTCATATTATTAGCTGTTGTTACTGTCGATGATACTGATGAGACAGAGGAAGAGGAAGAGGATGGTGGACAATCCGAATGAGGCAAATTATTAAAAGGGTACGCTGAGTTCGGTCTCATAGGACTTGTAATATGATGTGGTTTCATTTCGGCAGTATAACCTACATAAGAAAGTGATAAAGGGAATATAAATTTAGCAAGATGAAAATATTAAATTCATTCGAAAAAATCACTTACGGTTGAATGATAAAGATTTGATTGGAAAACAATTTACTCTCAAATTGGACATCATTACCGAAATCTTTATCGACATTATGTTGAATATGAGTGGGTTGAGAATGATGGCACGAATAAAAAAATTAAATTTTCATTAGTGGTAGTATGGTGTGTGCTACTGATGTCGACAGATATAAGTAGTATGTACCACCAATCGAAAGTGAGATTCTTGGCTGTAGAAGGTTGAGAAAATCAAAGAGAAGGGAACGAGAGCAGAGAATGATTAGTGTGGAAACGAAAGAACAACAAAGTCTGAGACAATTGATGGATATTTTGCAAATGAAGTATTTACTGTATGGTTCTCAGATTTTATTAAGACATTTTGTATTGTTCTGTTAAAATACATTTGAGTGTTCCCGCCTGTATCCTCGTTCACTAAAGTAGTAGTAGTAGTAGTAGTAGTAGTAGTAGTAGTAGTAGTAGCAATAGTAGTAATAGCAGTCGTAGTAGTAATATTGATGGTATTATTATTGTTACCAATGTCAGTAGTAAGATAAGCACTACTTCCTTTTTTAATTGACTTTTCAATTTTCCTTTTATTGATGAAAGACTATTACTGTTTAAGTAAGTGCTTAGTAATGTCACCACCATAAAGCGATAGTATAGTTTTCATTATTCATGACCTTTAAAAATCTCGAAATGTATAGAGTAAATGATTTTTCAACCAATATTACATTATCAATATATGGTTGTGGAGATTATTGGGTTTAGTTCAATATCATGAATCGATCATTGTTAGACCACAATTGAAACCTGGAAGCACTGGACGCCGTTTCGTCATAATATGGAAGTCCTCAGCCGTGAGCACCGAGATCTCTAACGTGGTAATCGAGTCCAGGACCTTCGGTCTGGCGTGCAAACGCTTAACCGATAGACTACTTAGCCGGCATCTCATAGTTTTAAAGTTAAAGTTCAACCAATCTATGATATTGCGCGACCATCTTCTATTATCTTCAGTGAGTAACTGCCTTATAACGGATATGGCCGTGACCAGTGGAGTTCAACTATATCGTGTGTGATACAGTTACCCATCTCAGGTTTTAAATGGTGATGTAGCATGGATCCATTCATGATATCAGCCCAAACTCAACATTAAATTATCTTCTGTTAACTGTAGTGCGGTAGGATGTTTCCACATCCAACTTATACGTATAATGAAATCCGTTTACTTAATAAGAAGGTTTAACACGTACGTTACCGATATGTTCGTTGATCGAAAAAATAAAAACAACTCATTATTTCCTACAACTGAATTTCTAGTCATTCCATAATATTACACAGTTGTGCTTACCATTCGAGCAACAGATTCATCTTTAGAACTAATTTCTTAATTAAACTGTCAGAATGGATGAATAGAGATTTCACTATTAAAATATTCAATTCAAAAGAACTAAGATATTTAACAAGAAAAACCTTCTTTTGAAGAAATCGTTATCTCACTAACATATACACGTACAAATACATACTTTCTCAATTCCCCATTTATATTATTCTTAGTACAATGTCTTGATAGTAGGAATTTTCTGGACGTTTACACACACACATTTACAAACATATATATATATATATATATATATATATCACTCAATAACTATTAAGACAAGCAAATTCAATTTGGCCAGACAAAGCAAAATGACCTCACTGAAATAAATTAATATTGATATATCAATATTTGTAACTCATCGTTACCATAATAATAATAATAATAATAATAATAATAATAATAATAATAATAATAATTATTATTATTATTATTATTATTATTATTGCTATGTATATTGTTTTGTTTATTACTTTCATCATAGCCCAAAACATACTATGACAACAATGATAAGAATGTATATCAATCAGTGGAGGAAAAATGCTTGACCATAACACTTCAATTCATTGAAGCATTTAGTTTTTGAGACAAGATTTCTTTAGGTAAGGCAGAAGAAGTTGGAGAAGAAGAAGAAGGAGAAGAAGAGAGGAAATCAATCTTTTTCTGAATAGGTAAAAAGATATGAGTAATGTGAATATATTTATCAGTAATAATTTGTCATTTTCATTGTTGTGGCCATGGGTTATAGCAATCCATATATATACAAACATTTTAGATAAATAAAAATCATTTTGAAGAGAATGTCAAAGACGCGTTAGATGTATTAACATCAGTGCTGATGTTGGTATCTTAATCAAACACTTGTATAGTCTCATTTGTGCTCACATAAACTAATCAGCGGGAATTAACCAATGTCATGTTTGTCTAGTCTTTACTGCTGATCGAATTCTATCGATCAAGTTTAATAGAGGCTACTAGTTCAAGTGACTCGAACTTGTTATCCATAATGTATTGTGTTCGGCGGTTGGAGACAATCAACAAAAAGCCTTGAATCTAGGTTTCAAGATAGTTATCACATGTCATTAAAGCATATTTACAATTTAAAATGAGACTAAAGTTCAACTGGACATTCATATTTCCGTGTCACAGTCAGAGATGTTATCATGGAGCAATTTACCCTGTATCTAAGCCCCTGTGTAACTGAGGTATTTTTCATCAAATAGTGATGGATGTCATGTTGTCCAATCGTAATTTAAGTTCCTTTTCGTTTTCAATTTTTTTTAAAATATTTTGTTATTACCAACTAATTACAAACAAGGAAAGAGTTATTGTTTACGTTAAATTAGTATTAAGTAATTTAGTGGATAGCATTTTTTAGAAATGCACTGATGTCTTTGTCATCGCTACTATGTAATTCAGTAAACTAACGGATGACATATTGTGATTTGTCTATGATAGAATTGTTTTATATAGATAATTCCATTTTACCAATATTCTCTGGTGCCGGTTCAAAAGCATGTACTCTTATCTTCAGGGGTAAATTTGGAAGCGAATTAGATTATTATGTAAAAAAAGTGTTGCTTGATAATAACGATATTCATAAAATATCTCTAATATAATTTATAAAAATAGAGGTCTTTCGAAATTATCTAGGCTCTTACAGTTTACGTCGCGGATTTATCTTAGTTGGACCACAGTTGAAACCAGGTAGCATTAGAGAGCTTTTATACTAGTATAAGACTACTTAGCAACGTGTTTATGACAATGTAATTAATTAGATTTAGAAGCCTGCTATTGTTATCTACATTCTCCTCATAGTTTGATAAGCTTGTAGTGCCTGGAACTTAGGAGCATGTTTCAGTTCACTTAATAGGTGAGTGCTGCATATAAAACTGATTTTCAAAAGAGATTTAATGTTAGGCTTTAACTTCACTATTTACGCGTTTTACCTGTATGATTTTGTGCTATGCTACATTGATGTGTTCATAGCACACATTTACGGATAACTCTAGACGTTTTAAATGAAATATTTAATGGAAAATACATTCTACTATGCAAAATTCACTCAATCACTGAACGAAAAATTGATTAAAATGCTGTATACAACACGTCAGTTGCGAATAACTTAAACTGTAACATAAAACAATCTTGCAGTAACTTGTCAATTCTATTCTTTCTTCTATTTGCTTCACTTAATTTAATATTCCCAAGTAAGCTTTCGGTTATTCTTTAAACTGAATTACATAAAGAAAGCTTACCGTATCATACGGTTCAGAAAAAAACTTGCATCTATCTTTGCACTTTCTTCAAATAAACACCACTTCATGGTGGAAAAAGGAAGAAAACACGGCGTTCAGTCTTAAGTGAAAAGATTAAGTAAAAAAAAAAGAATATTCAATACTTCAAACTTTTCAGTACTTGTCTGCGTGAAATCTTTTTATAATTAGGATAATTTATTAGATTACCAAAAATATTCAGTTCGTAAATGTGAGAAAAATCTCAATAAATAAGTTGAAAACGAATTCTGAGGTTAAATTTAAATATGGTTCTAAGTTCAGTGCTTCATAAACTCCACAGAGTTTAAACGTTATTGGATTCGGAACACAAATCAAATGATTTTGAAATTTAATGGAAATCTAATTAAGAATATGTTCCTGTAGTCAGAACTAATTAAGTTGTAAATCTTCTATTCTAATTTTGAACCATCTGAATAAGCATAAAGTTGGATATCCTCCGATGACTTCCAGTGGTAGTTGTGCCGTATCACTAAGATGATGATGGTAATGACTATTAACCACTAGATTGAGATTTCAAAGATATTGAACTTGATAAGTTAATAATAACAGAAGAAGTAGTACTACAGAATATTTTGATGAAATAAAATGCTTGTCTAGTACTATATATATTTGAATGGTTTAATAGTATCAATTATCACAATTAATTGATCACTGGGTGGTGATCAATGTCATACGTGTCAAGTCGTTCTTAGTGCTCAGTGGTAATGTCTCTGACTGTGAAGCTAAGTGACACGGGATTGAATCTGTCATGGAGCACCAGTTCCCTCAAGATTACAGGTATACCTTGCTGACGAGTGTCAAGTAGCACGAAACCCGGGTCCAGGGTTTCCTGTTGACCGCCTCCAACCACCATCTTAGTATCAATTATTTTTATGCTTAAAACATTAAATAATGAAAATACAAATTGACCATGTGTTACATTTTTCTTGTTTAAATGACTATCAATGAATATTTTACTTGTTAGGGGAAAAACAACCGCAGGTAATTGGGCAAAATATAACAATAAATAAGTGTTAAACATATTTTAAAATTCTAACCAAACTAACAATATTTAGCCATCTGTTTATTTCCCTAATTATAACAACAGGACATTTAACTCATTCGATTCTCAATTGTTTGAGTAAATGAATAAATGAATGAATGAATACAGCCATAAAAAGGATTAAAAGAATCATAGAAGAATAAAAACGTAAAACAGTTTTAATAAAACAACCGGACATATAATTCATTATTTTGCGTGACTTTAATCATAATATTGTCAACCACA